GTATGTATGTATGTATCTCGTATATATGTATTTATGTATGTATTTATGTATGTATATATGTATTGATGTATGTGTGTATGTACGTATGTATGTATGTATGTATGTATGTATGTATGTATGTATATATATATATATATATTTATATATATATATATAATATATATATACATATATATATATATTGCATTTGAAATTTGGCATTTGCAGACTGCGTGAGTTTATGTTCCACTGTCTCTTTGAATACTTCTTCGCAACCAATGATATGTATATCCCGCTCTCCGCACACTTTAACCTCGTGGTGTTCTTCCGAGAGTCCATCAATCCATATGCCAAGTGATTACAGCCTCTATGAAGCATCTAAGAACCAGAATATCAACTCATGCACTACATCTACGATCCCCTTCCTCCTGTGTGGTAGCCACCGATACTTGTTTTCCTATTTCTGCAGGACATCTACAATGTAATTCATACTCCTTCGCACCACCACTCTGCCACTTGGTCCCTATCCTCTGGGATCATCCCTTAGTACTACATGCCTATAACCTTACGCCAATTTAAGCTCTCAATTCCACATAATCTAACCCGATTTTTTGGTCTCAGGTTTCCAATTCCCCGAATGCCAAATAACGGAGGCCATGTTCCGGGTCGACCAGCCACCTGAATGGGTCGAGAGTGACCAGTGCAACAACTGCCGCACCTATTTCGGACCCATTACTCGCAAGCACCACTGCCGGAATTGGTAGGTCCAACCCTTTTATTTGTGCGGGTATAGGGGTGTTTCAACCTGGTTTATTTTTAGGGATCAACGCTATTTCTGTGTGCGTGGTTTCTTCGGGTTGTCCCACAAATGCACTTTAAATGGCCAATTTAAACACCCTCTCCACCCTCGTTGCCTATTTTATTGCAACGTGTGAGATCATATGCACCAAGAACACTGTGCACTCCTGTTCGAAATAAAATCCTGACCCAATTCTCAGCTAATTCAGTCAATTTGGCTTTGCTAACCAAACCCGAATGTCACGTGTACGGCAGTGGGAATATCTTCTGCAATGCGTGCTCGTCCAATGACGATCCGATCCCGAAGTTCGGCTACGAAAAGCCTGTGCGCACGTGCGACAGTTGCCACGTGGTCTTACAAAGTGGCGGTGCGGATGCGGCGGGTAAGGCTCACATGTGCCTTTTATACTCGTGTTTTCAGCACGATTTACTAGTATCAATCTATATTCAGATTTGTTAATGTATCTTTTAATTTTCTTCGGTATGTGTGTGGTCTTGCAGGTCTCTGTATGCCTATGCCTGCATGCATAGTTTATATTACTATCCACAGTGGTGTATGTGTGCGCGTGAGTGTGTATGTGAGTGATTCTGAGTGTGTTTCTACACCTGGATAATTCTGTGTACACGGGTAATGATGACACCTGAGTTTACTGATTAGTATCACCAATGGTTTAGCCCAACGACCAGTTAGAGGTTAACAATGGGGATTGTCTCGGCTTGGTTAGTAGTAGTCAAAACACAAGGTATGCTTATCAGCATATAGGGTATATATATAGCAGTACAAATGGGAATAATATATATACATATATATATATATATATATATCAGTACGTATGATATGTTTGGGGTATATACATATATATATATATATATATCAGTGTATATGGTATAAAAGTATATACTCGCCTTTTTCACTTCTAGTAATTGTCTGCTGTCTGGATAGGACGCTGAACAGCCTCAATTTTTGTCAGTACTAGCTACCTACCGCTGCCTGATTGAGGGCGTTGTGACAAGAAGAACACTATTGATTCACCAAAGTATATCGTGCTAACATTCAAACTCAAACTTTGAGAGAAATCCGAATTCAGACATTCTTATCATAGAATGAGGTGCAGCCCTATTCTGATCACCTGAGGTTGTATCCCAACTACTTTTGCTGTTTTATATGTCATAGAGTATAACTGCAACTCTTGCGTATCTTGGGTTTTATCTACAGCTATAGCCCAGCAGATAGGTGGGGTGAGTGGTGGTGTCCCATCCGGCCCCTCAGCCGCAGAGGCGGAGGCGATCCGACAGAGAGAGGAAGACGATCTCATGCAGGCCATAGCCCAGTCACTGCATATTCAGGTAGGTAGTGTATTGTGTATGTCATACATCGATGTGCGTGCTTGGGTGTGGACTTATCACTGTGTGTATCTGTTATTAATGCGATCTTGCTTATATATATATGTGTGTGTGTGTGTGTGTGTGTGTGTGTGTGTGTGTG